TATTTCTTTGTAAAGTCATATACTGTTTATATACCATTGTATACTGTTTATATACTGTTCATACACTGCACGCTGAGTAACCCAGCAAACCCAGCCACTACTTGTTCCACCCTCAACTGCAGCTTCCACTGCCTTCCTTTACTATTTACCAGCAATGGACCCCTCCTTCAGATCCTACACAGTCTCCTCCTGGAAGTTACCATCCTCCCGCAATCGAGAATCCTTTCCCGACGATCTGTTGATCCTGTTACCTTCTTATTATTTGTTCAATAAACCTTTAAGGAAAACTGCTCAGTGTCTGTCATTGTACCCGTTCTTCCCGTTCAATTAGCATGTTTTCTAAGCCAAAACAAGGCTTTCTTTTGGTTCACTCTATAAAGCCTCGAACTCAACGCTAATTCTTACATTTTTAATTGAAAAAGCTTCCTGGATTGGAATCGAAATGCTTCCCATCCAGTTTCCCACCTTGGAAAGTCCAGTGGATTGTATTTTAACTTTTTTGGAATGCCGGCTTAAGAGTCAAATCCAGAATCATGTCATATTTTAATATTTTAATATTTATTTTTATATCTTAGGTTTTTATTTTTATGCTATGGTTCATTATATATATATATATATTTTTTTTTTTGTATTTTTTTTTTATTTATTTATTTTATATTTTATTATGCACCGTGGGGTTGAGGGGATGGAAATTTCATCTGTGTTGTATGTTTACATGTAGCACATTTGACAATAAAGTTGAGTTGAGTTGAGTTGAGTTCATCTACCTTTGGAACAGATTGAAAGGATTCTGAGGAAATCTCAGATTTTGATCAAAGCGTTTGCAATAGAAAGATTGTTTTAATGGAGAGAAATTTCCCTTCTCTACCAAAATGAATTTCCTTAAATTAAAAGTTTTAGTGATATATTGTTTTTTTTAGAAAAAGATATCCATTTTCCTTGTCACATTTTTTTATGGACACTCATTCACTACAGAGACTATAATATAGTAATACTAATTATAATTTAACTTTATTGATCTCCCATTGGATAAACTTACCTCCGTATTCCACCCATTACCTTGGGGAGCAGTGGCCTGCCATCGTGGGGCACCTGGGAGCAATCAGGGGTTAAGGGTCTTGAACCGGGTACTTACTGTACAACCTTCTCAAAACACAATTGCACTGCTCTAACCACTAGGCCATCGCTTCCCCTCCATTATCATTCTCAGTTTATGGACATGTCTAAAAAGGCTTTTGGTTTTATAAATGTGTATTTTAAAAACCCTGATCTGGTTAAAAATCTGAAAAGAGTTGTCAATCATCCAATTTTTCTATTATCTGCATTTTAGTTTTCACGCTCCAAAACATAACTTTTTACCTTGAATACAAATTTGTTGAGAAACAAGAATATTGCCGTTTAAATCAGCCGTTGCTTCAACCATCACGCCTTTTTGTTTGTTAATATAAAATAAATAAATATTGAGCTGACCATAATATTTGACTGACATTGTTGATAATGTTTGACTGACACTTATCATCTGCCCAGTCAGCATTCACAGAAAACAACAATTGCGCAAAACGACCCCCCTTTCCGAGGCATAGACTAGTATCGGGTATTGCAGGCCAACAAAGAACCCATATGATAGCCCATTCCTAAGGTGCGGGCCCGTTCTTCTGGTTTAATTTCCTTGTTTTCTAAGACAAAACAAGTTTTTGGCCTACTATATAAACTTTGAACTCAGTGCTAGTACTGACATTTTGAATTAAAAAAGCTTCTTCAATGGGAAGCGAAATGCCTTCAAACTTGGAAACAAAGTCCAGTTTTTTGGAACGTCTAAGTCTAACAATATACTAGTTAAATCAAAGAAGGCATGGCACATGCATATGAAGCATTGCCTGAGTGGTTTTTGTGTGCCTGTATTATAGTAGCTGCTCTCCCGACTCTACATTTGAAATGTCTACAAAACAAGCCTGTTGAAGGTAAGAGGCCAAAATGCCTGCTTTTAATAACAGAGGCAATAAAATGTGCTGTGAAAAAACAACAGAGATTAATCTAGTGAATGAAACCGAACCATGTGTCCAAAGATTAGAAGCTGTATGAAAAACTTGCCTCATGTCTGTAAGCGTAAAATGCTTGAGATTAGTGTTAGAGTCAACCTACACATTTTAACTTTGTCCTCTTGGTAAATTGACAAACCAGAACCCAGACTCTAAAGGGTAACTTGGTCAGATGGGGGTCAGTCTGATTCTAGATATAGCTAAAGGTAACATGTGAGAATTTCAGACTGGTATGCAACAAACAAACACTCTCTACAAGCAGAAGTTCACATGTCTTTTGGTGAGGACATCACCACAGAGTGCCACTGGAGACGCTGAAAGGTGTGTCAAGAATTGCCTTGCAATGCCTGACAAGAAACTGTAAAGCAGAACAGCTGCTTCAACAACTCACCCTATCAAACAGTGCGGTGCCAGCCAACGTCAACTTGTTTTCACATGGACCTTTTCCTGTCCTCAACAGGAGAAACCCATGAAAGTGCTACATAAATATTCACAATAAGATTTTATTGCCAATTAATAAAAGCAATATTTCAATTGGCAAAAAAAAAAATACCAAAACAAATTTAAAGATGATTCTCTAAAAACATACACTGTATATAAATAGTTTTCACACCTTTATTAGAATCGTCTAAAAATAAGATGCTGAGACAACTGGCTTCTTACATTTCGCTACCCTTAGACTGACATATATCCCATTATCATCCACAAAGACAAACAAACACATCTATTGCAAAATGAAGAACAAAACAAGATCTAAAAAGAGGCATTAAACAAAATGCATACAGCGTACAAGGTAATACTTTGTTAAATTATCCTTTATTTTAATTCCATCATTCTGTCTTCTAGGTTCATATGATGAATGTAAATGAGATTCAACTGTCCTGGTAGGATGTTCTTGACAGTTGTTAACGTGCATTATTATACAGCTGCCACATACATCCTTTGCAGAGGTGTCAAACATATTCATGTTTATTACAATATTTATTACAATTACAATATTCATTATTTATTACAAGCACAAATCCTTCTGTTTAAAACACTTTGTACAAGTTAGAGCATCAACTTTTTACTCAAGTAAAAGTACCATTTTTAAAACTACTTCAAGTATAAAGGTACAGGTAATTCAGAAAAAAATGTTAAGGACAGAAGCTATTTGCAGTACCCTAATAAAGGAAAATTTTTCTGCTATTCTGGATGATAATTTCCTTATACTTAAGTTTCTTAGCCTTATAACTAATGGTAACAGTGTCAAATTTAATTTTGCATCACCTTGAGAAACTATTTATTTTGGTATGTAGAGAACAACAAGCTGCAGCACCTAGTCCAACCACAAAGAAATTAATTGTCTGGATAATACAAGTTATTTTGATGGGGGTTTTTAAATACAAACAAGCCATAGCGAAAAGGAGCTTAAATTAAACAAAACAAATGAGTCTATTTTTTTTAATGCAAAGAGTAGAAAGTAGAGATAACTACAAAAAAGTAAGGATTGGAAACAAAAACTTATCTAAAAAATAATTACTAAAATTTCTTCTTAAGTAAGGTAACAAAGTATTTGTATTGTATTTGATTGCGGTATCATCCTAGCTGCTGTTTACAGCCCACCAAAACAAAAAGAATAAATAAAAAGAAAGAGAAAATGAAAGAAAGAAAGGAGGTTTGCAGCCGCAGCAGATTCAGTGTAATGTCTGCTTGAAAGTTTGTTTTTCATGGCCGTTAATACAGGGAGGTTCCATCACACTCACCTTCTCGCTCACCCTATGATGGGGATGCAGTCTGGAGAAGAACAGATGTTTTCTCCTCCAGTTTTCACCTCCTGTGAACGCCCTTTTATACCAAAAACACTGCCAATACACCATTATATATTAGCTGTAAGTTAAAAACACTTTAAGAAGTCATCTGGAACACGTCAAAGGTTTCGGATGAGCTGGACACCACGACTTATGAGTGGCTTACACTTAACATATGTCAACTTATCTGTAACCTATGCCCCTTATATGGCATACACCGGCATACGTCGGCAGGTTTTAAGCAAGCTCAGAACTTCTCGATGTACTTGCCATATGTCGTCACACACCAGCGTGCTTCGTCGTACTTCAGCATGCTCATAACTTATCCAACGTATGCCAGCGTTTGTGCAAGATTTTTCGTACGTCAGGCAAACATTGGTCTAAATCAACATTGGTGTGAAAAGGGCTCAAGATGTTTGCTCTTGGCTCAGCACTGGTAGTGTGTTCATATATTGACTGACGGAGTCAACAACAGTAAACTAGGCAGCAAATCAATTTAGATAATGTTCTATTTGTACTAAAAGTTCAAAATGTTCCAAGGAAGTATATCCAACACTATTATACCAGCATCAATCTGGACTGGTCAAACATGGCAGCATGAACCAACCTTTCATGTTTTTGTCCCAAACTCTAGGCATACTTTCTACATTCTGATGACTCTTTTAAATAGTGAATAAAAAGGGCCTCAAGTTTCCGCCAATTGATTACTAAACAACAGTCTTAGAGTCATGGATCTCAAACTTGGGTCATGTTTCTTGACCTCATGTTACTGTGTGTAGCTAGATTAATAAACATGTTGTTGTTGTTTACTTTTGTTCAGCTGTTTTGAAATTCTGTTCTTTATGGTTATATAAAAGTATACCTATGATTGCTTGAAATTCCAAAATTAGAATGTTGGAATACAACATGTGTCTTCATATTTGTTTGCCTTTTTATTTGGGCACATACTGTGTTAGTCCCAATCAAGACTCTTAAGAGCACTTTGAGACTGTCAACGTTTTTATGATCTTGGGGTGGTTACAGTGTCGGTGGACATGTGACCAAAGTGGGGGGAGTCTGCTAAGGGTCATTCATTGCTATGCTGAAGTCACTGGATATAAGCCCCTAAAATAGCACTACAGAGGGTATATAGGGATGCAGTCCCAGTTACCCCCTTAGAATACAGTTCTGTGGAAAGGCAAGGATACTGTTTGACGCATTCTCATTCAGTGGGGAGAAATCGACCTTCGACAGGAGGACATAAACAGCCAAAAAAGGAGGAAAATCTCGACATAGAGGACTTAAAAACTGTTGGTATTATTTGTTAAGCTACAAACAAGGACCCGGCATAAAGGATACTTCTTTCCTTGGATTGTTCTGCGTCTCAGGATTTCTCATTTCCCTCCTTTTCATCTACAAAGGAGGTGACAGAGCTGCGACAGCTGCAAAGATGAAGTACAGCTACGCAGCACCGGTCTCCACCTACACACGGAGTTCACAGTACACACCAGTGTACCACTCATCCTCCTACTACAGCCCCTCACATTACACCTCAACATCCACGTACGCCACTGTATCAAAGTACATCCCAACGGCACAGACTAGCACTTATTACACCCCATCCCTTTACCCGTCCAGTTACAGAGCTGCATCAACGTATGTCCCTTCATACAGCAAAGTTTCAAAGTACACCTCAACACGCCGCACTCAAGCGCAGGAAAAACCTGCGCCTGTAATACCTGTGGCACCTGCAAAGAGGACTGTGCACTTCCCGAACGACATCATCTTCCAGGACATCGTCAGACGAGGGGATCTGGAGCAAATTGGACGCTTCATGAGAGCAAGGAAAGTCCGTGTGGATACGGTCTTCCACTCAGGTTAGCAACGTCTTTTTCTTCTTCCTGACAGCTGTGTTTCTGCTACTTTAATCTTGAAAGTTGTATTAGTAGATTAGTAATATGCATATCCTAATGCAAAGCAATCCTTTTATCTTCTGTCCAGGAATGGCTGCTCTGCATGAAGCCGTGCTTACAGGAAACCTGGAGGTGGTGAAGCTCCTTGTCAAATATGGCGCTGACGTGCACCAGAGGGACGAGGACGGATGGACGCCACTGCACATGGCCTGCAGTGACGGCTACCCAGAAATTGCTAGGTATTGTTTCTAGGTCTCAAACAACTAAAAGCGCAACTATTTAGGTCTACAGTAGTTACATCTAGATGAAATTAAAATACCTGCTAAGAGAAAAATAATGCTCAGTCCTGCTCTTATCCAGTGTTTACACAAACCTTGACAGAAAGACACACAACCATGGAGGAAATTTTGATTTCAGAAGTAGGGGGGACACAAGTATTTTTTTAATATAACTAACTTCAGCATGTTTGAGCATCCAATCACAGACCCGATTCAGAGGTGCATCGGATGTTTGTAAAGTGAGCTTCTTAAGAGTGGCAGTGGTGGCAGGCAATCACATTTAAAAATACGGTGGGCCAATCAGGAGCTTGTGGGCGGTCTAAACTCAGGGAAGCGGGCTTTAGCTTGAGCTGCAGTTTTCTGCTTCGTCCTAATGCTTGACAAATGTCTATGTTCCGTAGCGTAATATTGTTTTTGGACAGTAAAACGTGCAGGGGACCAAAAAGATCCAAAACTATTTCCATGTGCACTGCTATAAATGTTTAAAACATTGCAATAGCCTCTGTGTAACTATGTTTTTCTTCTACTCCCAGGTACCTCTTGTCGGTGGGAGCAAGCACAGAAGCTGAGAACGAAAGTGGAGAAAAGCCTGCAGATCTGATTGACCCAGACTGTAAAGAGCTGGCTAAACTGTTTGAGACAGGCTGTGTGTGACCACTCATGAACCTGAGTGAGAAAAAAAAGACACAAAAATGACCCAAATTAAGCAAGTAACTTCACATAAAACCTGTATGTTGCCGCTGCTTCTGCCAAAAAGCAACATTCTGGGGGTTTTTTTGCCTTTTTTTCAAAATTGTATCTCATCTCTGCTCATCATTGCTTTATATTACTTTTATTTACTTTCTTTTGCTTCATTGTAAACTGTTAAATATTTGCTGTTACTGACATAAGAGCTGTAAATACTATGGTGTGACTACTTGACAAAGCACATGTCCGTGGATTCAAATGTCTTTCCTTGTGAATTCTAGTTAAAGACAAATCACATATTTATTTATAAAAAAAAAATGTATTCAGTTTTTCATTTGAAATCTTTTATCATCTGTATTTGTTTATTTTTCTATGGAACAGGATGCAGCCTGCAGACAGAATGTTTTAAAAAAAGATGTCTAAATCTACACGAGAATCTGAACTTGTATCAAAGTGTTTGTATAATGTTTTGCATCCTCACTGCTGGGCAGAAAGAGGGTCATCCAGATCACTGCAACCTCTTTTTATGTAGTTCAGAAAGCTTAAATATGTAGATTTGTTTCTGTGTATCTCTGCAGGATTTTGACTGTTCTCTGTTGTAAAAAGAAAATAATTGTAAGTCTTATAATTGTCGGTACAATTATTATTTTTTGTACATTTTTATAAATAAAATCCTTTTTGCAAATAAAATGCTCTAGTAGTTTTAATAAGGAAAGCAAAAATACTTTTTCAATAATTTAAGCTATCAATTCCTAGTTTTTAATGACCCAATGTGTACTTGGGAAGGACCAGAAACGCAGAGGCGTAGCCAGAAAATGTTAATAAGGGTGGCCAGGCAATAAGCAATGTAGACTGAGCGGGGGCCAAAAGCAGATCGGTGCAAGAACCTCAGGATCAATCTACACTGTCCCAAAAGGAAAATGCACAATCACAACATTCATATTTTCTAAATGAAGACAAACTATACTTTCCTGCAGCCTTTGTTAACAGATAGACGCATATATTTAAACATCCATGCTGTATAAATTAAAGGTGTAGTGGACAAAATTCTTTCAGTTTTGAGTTCTGGGGCAAACATCTTATTCATTGTCATTACTTACCTACTTTTATTGACAATCATTCTGCATAGAATTAACATTTACATGTACTAATATCCATATTAAATGGATTATTTATTATTAACGTAGTTATTTATCTCTGATTTCAGTGAAGATTCCTACATGACTTGCAGAGACATAATTTTCTCTTTAACCCATATAAGACACAATCTAGTTCTGAAAAGAGCATGAATTCTGTATTTATCATCTTTAATGTTATGATGTGCATAATTAACCACCGTGCTTTTTTTGTTAGGTAATTGCTTTCATATAGAAAATTTAAATTTTAAATAAGTTAAAACATTCCACTTGAAAGTATTACTGCTGCCGACGTCTGTATTGGAGGGAAAAAATGGTAGGGGTGGCCACAGCGGTGGCCAATTATTGCCCCCCCCCATCTAGCTCTGCCCCTGCAGAAACCAACCTGTGTTTCTTGGAAACATGAGACCATATGCATGGGGATATATGGGAAAATTGTGAACCTCTATATGAATGTGTGCACGACTGTGTGAACGATACAATTGCTGCAAAGCAATTTGAGGGGTAAACAGAGTTGTGTGTGAGTGTGTGTGTGTGTGTCCTGTTAGGCTCATCTGTGGAAGATGGTTGAAATGCAGTGAATTATTATTATTTTTGTTATGATCATCATTGTTATTATTATTATGTTATTATTATTGCGATTATTATTTTGATTATTACTATTATTTTTTTGTTATTATTATACTGATTATTATTATTATTATTATTATTATTATTATTGTTATTATTATTATTATTATTATTTATAATCCTGTTTCCTTTCTTTTTTTTTTTATTCATAGGTTGTTTTGAAAGTCTTTCATATCTCTTCCGCGTCTAATCCCGGAAGTGATTGGTTGGCATTGGCAACGATTTTTTTTTTAGCAGCATCTTTCGGCTTACTAAGTCTTTGAATAAAGAAATTGAGGATATAAATCTACAAAGGTTTGTTCTTCATCCTAACGCGTATTAACAGGCTAGATTGCAAGTATCATTATCACGGTGACTCCTCTTCATCAAACGGTTTGCCAGTAATATTTGAGAAATATTAGCCGGATCAAGCTAACGCTAAGAGACAATGCAAATGGCCAGCTAGCTAGCTGCAATGCTAGAGTTAGCTTAATAAAATGGCTATCTTTTCTAATTTTTTGGTTGTATCCCGTAGAATAACTCCAACTTGATGCGTATTCCACGATTAAATGCTGCTTATGTTTAGTTTTAACAAAATGTTTTGATTTGCCCCCTGTTACTTGAGTTAAAATCAGGGAAACCATTCGAGTCAAAACGTAAACAAAAGCGTATTATTTTAGCTAAACTCAAGCGCTGCTTGTTGCTACAGACTTACAGCCTAAATGAAACATTTCACTATTGCAGACACTAGATATTTATACAGTAGCCAGCCTTATCTGGGCTGAATTTATCTAATGTATCTGAAATGATTAGTTGAACGCTAGCAAGCGTTATCTCTGGCTGCAGTCGGATTAGATTAGGGGGATCGCTTTGATTGCATGTTAAACTACAAAGGTATTTGAAAATGAAAGGTTATTTCATTTTCAAATACTTACAGGTTTTTGTTTTTGATGGGTTTTAGTTTGAGACTTCATCGCCTTTAAAGTCACTCACCCCAGAGGAGCAAGGAGCGAGTACAGACTGCAAACAGAATGACCAGGTGTGAGAAAGTTCTGCTACTCAAGTGCTTGATAGTTATTTTTTTCACAATACTTTGATGTCAGCTGCTGACTTTGTTCTGTGTTTGTGTGTGAAGCTCATCTGCTCCCAGGATGGTGAATAGTTACAAGAGGACCTCAAGCCCCAGATCACCGACCAACAGTGGGGAGCTGTTTACCCCAGCACACGAGGAGAATGTGCGCTTTATACATGATAGTAAGGACATAATTCAACAATGTATGCATCATATATCATACATGAATAAGACCAAGGCTGCATTGAGTTAAAAAAAGGGCGTGAGCTTTCTACCTTTATGGTGATATTTAAAAAACATCTACATCTTAGCTGTTTTGATTCCTTTTTCCTTTGGGAGGCTATGTTGCAGGGTAGTTGACTCAAGACTTCTCTTTTTTTTTTTTTTTTGCCTTAACTAATAAAAGGCAGCAGTTTTGATAATGAAGATAATGAAAAATAGATTTTCAAACGTACCCTTAAAGGGTTTTTGAGCAAGCATTCAAGCAACCCTTACTCTAACTTAGGTGAATTTAATTTACATTATTATAATCAAATTAAAGAACTCTGTTGGCATAATAAGCCTAAACTACTACTAGCTAACTGGTTTAAATTTAATTTTCAGTGAATCATCAAACATAACTCTGTTCATACGCTTTGAGTTGCTGCTTCCATATTTTTACATTTAAGCTCATCTTCGTTTAGGAACATCAACAAATGCATATCTCTTTGGAACTAGTTGATATGGCTAAGAGGTAGTCACCCTACTGTCTTTGCTTTAATATATTTTCTGTGTTTTGGGCGTAAACTGAACCATCATTTAGAACAGGGTTGTCAAAGAGGTTTGAGAAAGGGCCGTGTGGCTGCAGGTTTTCTTTCCAACCAAGCAACAGCACACCAGACTCCAGTCATCTCATCAAGGGAGTCCAATCTAAACATGATGACTTGATGAGATGACTGGAGTCTGGTGTGCTGTTGTTTGGTTGGAAAGAAAACCTGCAGCCACACGACCCTTTCTGGAGCCAGTTTGACACCTGTGACTTAGAATGAGTTATTTATACAGCAGTGCTACATCCTTATAACTATTAAGATAGATGTAGTGAGACTCACATCTTTGTTTCACTACTGTTGTCTGTATTTATATACATGCCTAAACATGTGAAAAATAGATCCATGTTTTTAGAAAAAATCACAGATGGAACCGTCATTCTTCCATTGAATGCAGCAGGGCATCTTTTTGATGTCTCCTGTAGTGTTTGACATAGCCAGAGCATTGAGACTGAGTGGCTTTTAAATATTCCTCTCTGCATATGTAGTGAGGAAAATAAGTATTTGAACGACTTGCTATTTTGCAAGTCCTCCCACTTAGAAATCATGGAGGGGTCTGAAATTCTTATCTTAGGTGCATGTCCACTGTGAGAGACAATCTAAGAAAAATAAATCCAGAAATAAATATGTATTTTTTTTAACCATTTATTTGTATGATACAGCTGCAAAAATGTATTAGAGCACCTGAGAAAGAATCTCAATCTTTGGTACAGTAGCCTTTGTTTGCAATTACAGAGGTCTGATCTTCTCTAGATCATTCAGGTTTCTGGGCTGTTGCTGAGAAACAGAGTTTGAGCTCCCTCCAAAGATTCTCTATTGGTATAAGGCCACGGTGGAACCTGGATATGCTTCTTATAGAGCCACTCCATGGTTATCCTGGCTGTGCGCTTCGGGTCATTGTCATGTTGGAAGATCCAGCCTCGACCCATCTTCAATGCTCTAAGACAGGCATCCCCAACCTCCGTCATCAAGGCCAACTGTCCTGTAGGTTTTAGAGGTTTCCCCTTACTGATAGAGATTGGTATCGATATGTTCAGTTTTTGTAACTTTTCAGTCTATCAAGGTTTATGGGGCTTTTAGAATCCAAACAAGCCTGCAGTATCATCAGTCCTCCATCACACTTACGGTAACAGGATGGATACTGAGTTTTTCTAAACATTTCTTCCTTTTAAGCCAGGCTCACCTTAAGCGTTTGCTGTTAAATGACTAGTTCCTAGTCTCATCTAACCAAATCACTCAGCTCGATTGAATTGGTTGGTTCCGATCTTGTCTATTTCGGTCACATCCACCTGTACATTTTATAGCCAACCAGCTATACCATCGGTCCCCAAGTCCTGCAGAGTGATGCACATTTTTCTGTCTGGGGAACCATGGGTAACATCTGACCAAAAATGTTAGCATGTGTCTTCATTATGACATTGACTGTTTGATGTTAGTTCCAAGCTGCTATAACCATCCCTCCCGTTGTGCATTGTAGGCCCTTGTTCAACCCAGTGTTTGAAGCAACTGGGCCCCTGCGTTACGTTATATTTAAACCCCAGGAAAATCATACATTACTAATTAGAAGTCCTATTAAACCTAATCAACATTAAAACAAGCATCTTTTTTTAAAACAAATGGTTGGGTGTATCAGTGATTATTCCACCAGGGTTTTATTTTAATATCTGTCAAAGGGTTTATTATCCCTGGTGCCAGGCTTTGTATATTTACACAATAAAACTCTATTTGATTATCTGACCACATGAGTCCTCTATATGACAAATATAACATCCTGTCGTCGTTATTCTCTCCCAGCCTGGCAGTGTGTGCTCCGAGACATCAGATCGACACAAAATAGTGAACGCAACGACCGCGGACCACAGGAGTATGTGGAGAAGAACCCCAATCCTAACCTACATTGTAAGTTAACAAGCCAAATGTAATAGAACTATGTTGTTTCTGGGGGAAACAACTGTAGAGCAATAACAACTTTGCTTCTCTGTCTGCTTTTCCAGCTTTTACACCAGTGGACCTGAGTGACCTAAAAAAGCGCAACACACAGGACTCCAAAAAGTCTTAGTTTTTTCTCTCATGTTCCTGTTACTTTTTTTTTTTTTTTTTTCATCCATTATCCTCAAGAACTTTTAATTTCTCTGCTCTCTGACAGCCAGAAACTTGACCCTGTTGGAAAGTCTAACACAGAATACAAATCTCATTTGTATACAAGGACCATAGCAAACCTTTTCTGTTTTTTTCCCTTGACCACTGACAAAAAAAACAGCCTTGGCTTTTGAGGGGGAACCGGCTCTTTCTTTTTATGTTTTCAGGTGACAGAAGTCTTCATATTGTGGCTCTTGGTGTGGCTGAGACTGCTCCAAGGGTTCATCAAACAACCGAAGCACAGAGTGAAACCCGACAAGACAAAAAGACTGAAGTCTTAAACAATAGTAGAACAACTCAAATGACATTGGAAGAAATTGTAAAGGGCTTTTTCTGTTCCATTCTGGAAAATAGATTGATCAATTAGAAATGCTTCATGGGCAAGTATTGAAAGCCAAAATAAAGTGTAGAAGGCCAACCTTTTTAATAAACTATCTTGCCCTTGGTGGATTTTATTTTGCAGAGTAAACAGCCCTTTGTTAAGCCCTCTGCTCAAAGCCTTGAAACAAAAATGTTGAATAAAAGACTTTTACAGTACCCCCTGCATTTCTTGGTCCTACGTGAATGATAATCAGATGTAGTTCCACTGAACTGTATGCCATCAATTGTAAATCGCTTCCCAGAGATAGAAAAAAAATAAAAATACTAAGCTAAATTTCTCAATCATACACAGGTAGCTCTCTCTTTCACTTTAAAATCAAAATTTGGAGAAGAGGAAAACTAAATTAAACGTTTGTATTTACCTTATTTTCTTTGTTATATAAGAAATATGGAATTCTATTGATTTAGATAAACCAGACTAATTATTTTAAAGTTCTGTAAACAGACAATCTACTGTAGAGAGATTCAAATTAGACAATCTATTAGTTATTATTTAGATGTTACAATAAAATCCTTTTTATATATATATATATGTATATATATATATACAGTCAAATTCTATTTTGTCATAAAAAGTGCAACATTACTAATGTTTTAAAACTGCTCATCTATTTCATTAAAATTCTGTGTGATAAGTGAACTAGGTCTGTGAATTAGCTGGTTTCTCTGTACTTGCTAAAGAACACACCAAAACCTTGTGTGTTAAGGGTTGTGTGTAGTAGTATGTTGGAAAAGGTGGGATCCTATAAGCCTTCTGTCAGGAGGTTGCCCTCAACCTTTAGTAAAGGTTGAGGGCAAAGCCTGTCATTAAGTATCTGCAATCAGAGTCTAACCTCTGATTTTTAGAGTTATGAATGCTAAATGTTTTTTATACTCAAGGAAAAGTGTTAATTATGTTATTTACAAGACAGATTATGCAAGCATTTGTTTTGTTTTTTTGTTTATTTAATTGCAATCTTTTCTTTTTATATATTGAGTTGTTTTAAATATTTTTATTTTATCAGAAGGGTTTAAAATTTAGAAGAGGGTTCTCAGCTGCATTCCAATCATTTTGGTGAAGTTTTTTATTTGCCAATGAGCTTTCCTTGAAAGAGTGTCCCTTTTTCTTGTAGGTAAACGGCTGAAAGCAAAGGAACTGGCTCTCTTGTGTTAAGCCAAATGTCTGTACAGAAGCTGTTTGTTAGAGTTCTGAGCGAGGCTGAAGCTCAGAGGAAACCGATCTTTTGTATTTGATGCTCGTAAATAACGGAAAACTTTACCCTTGAGTATTAAAAAGGCCTCCTCCTATTCTGTTTTTAAATCTCTCTTCTTTTTTTTTTAGCTCTTTGTTATTTTTTGTATCTTTATGTTTTTATTGTTTTTGGGTTCTTTTTTATTGTTTTGTTTTTAACATACAGCAGACCAAGCTGTATGGCACCCCTTGCTTCTGTTATGTGCTATAGAATTAAACAAGCTCTTTAGGTTTTAGTTAAGAGAAAATGTTTCAATAGTGATATTCCTGCCATCTACTAATTTCCTAATTCAATTCTAAGAATTTAACTTGTTAAATCTAGGGTCGAGTATTGTACAATATAAAACATCCGACAGAAGAGGGCGCTATTCCCCCTTGAATTGATGTTTTACGTCTTGACGTCTAAATACGTAACTACGTAACGTGCCTGTTTGTCTATATTCTGAGGCGGTTAGCTTATTGTGTGTTCAGTCGTCGGTGCTGCGCTGCGAAAAGCTAGGGAGAAGGACCAACAGAGTCTAGGGTGTACGTTTTATTTTTTCCATCACAGTTTAGAATAATTGGGGCTAAATAATGGCCGATAAAATGGATATGTCTCTAGATGACATTATCAAACAGAACAGGCAGCAGAGAGGTGGACCCCGCGGAGGAAGAGGCCGAGGCCGCGGAGGCTCCGGTCGCGGAGGAGGCCTCGGGCGCCTTGGTGGCGGCGGCAGTGGAGGTTTTGGAGGCCGAGGCGGCGGATCCGGCCCCATGAGGAATCGACAGAACCTGAATCGCGCTAGAGGCAGACCGACACCTTACAGCAGGGTATGAGAATGTTAGAGGAATAAGCGGTCAAAGGAAAAAAAACCTTCGACACAGCTGAAATTCCCAGTTAACGTCCTTCAGTTTGCTTCCTAGCTAATCCTCTTGCCAATTGGCTAAGTCGAGCGGAAAAAAAGATGAAAGCTAGCCGCCGAGTTATCTCTCTCCCAGGAGAGGTTTATAGAAAGCGGCTACGCATAAATGGAAGTTGTTTGTATAACGCGTCCCTTCTCCCATCAAGCCAAATGTTATACACCAGTGTCTAAGAAGAGCGGATGTCTTAGGCCTCAACGGCGCCATTTTGAATCCAGACACCGAAATTTAAGGCCAGGCGTCGAATGCTGTTTTCCCGTCCCTCACGGAAAAGGAAGGAAACCACATCACGGAGCAAGCCGACCGTCAGACGAGTTTTTCACATCCATTGGGAGCGAATTTTCCCCATGTTTCGTCGACTAGACGGCCTTTTGTTCTGGGAGTGGCTGGCGGGTTTATCGAGGCATGTCTGAATCCTTTTCAACCACTGCGCCCAATTCTTTATGGATGGAAAAGTGGACTTTACCCCCTATTATCTCATATATGGCAATGCTCAATTGCTTTATTAAACGGTGCCTGTTAAAAGAATAGAAATGAAAGCCCCAGTCAAAATGGCGTGGTCTTAAAATGGACGCTCACTTAATCCACGCTTGTAAAGGTGTACGAGGCCAACTTTTTTGCACCATATGGACATTATCCACCTTGAGAAGACCCCAGAGAACTCTGCGGTATGCGAGGAAGGTCTGGTCGGCGCTGGACGAGGCTGCTGCAGATGGAGCCCCTGGCGCGTCCCCGGAGCCTCTCTGGAGGGCCCTTTCAAGGAGGCGCAGATGGCAAGAGAACAATGGGAACTCCTGCTAGCTAGTATGGGGAGTTTTTCAGGTTTAGTGTAAAGTATCTATGGGTGGGTGTGGGTTATTTTAATTCCTTTGAAGTATTCTGTCTTGGTTGACATTGAGCAGACATAGTTTAGAATTGTTTTGTACATCTTGCTAAAGGTCTCTGCATGTCTGCCTCTAAATATTATGCTATATCCCCTTGCTTTCAATAAGTGATGTATACTGTCTGAACTGATTCACTAGCTTGTAGTGATGGGGTGGGCAGGGATTATTTATTTTTGGGGGGGTACGGACCCCCTCTCACCCCATTAAGGGAGGTGACCACCCTGGCCATGTTGGAAGTGGAGCCCCTGCTTTCCCCAACACCCAGCCATGTGGACTCTGTGATTGACAGGGAGGCAAGGGGATCCTGAAGTCAGCAGGTGCGTTCTCTTTCGTCTGTTGCAGCCGAAACAGCTCCCAGACAAATGGCAGCACGACATGTTCGACAACGGCTTCGGAGGGTTTAATGGTAGTGCTGGAGGTGGCGGTGGAGCTGGTGTGGAAACTGGAGGGAAGCTCCTAGTCTCCAATCTGGACTTTGGTGTTTCAGATGCAGATATTCAGGTAAACAAGATTTCTGACTGTCTTTGCCTGATTTTTTTTTTTTTTTTTTTTTTTGGATGCAAATTAACTTGTTTTATAATTTTTTTTAAAGGAACTTTTTGCTGAATTTGGGACACTGAAGAAGGCTGCCGTTCATTACGACCGCTCAGGAAGGAGCCTAGGAACAGCTGATGTCCACTTTGAGAGGAGGGCAGATGCACTTAAAGCCATGAAGCAGTATAACGGCATCCCTCTGGATGGTACGGTTCAGATCCAGGAATAGGGTTTCAGACAACTTAAGTAACATTTGCTTTGTGGTTGTCCAAACTTTATGGCAAGCTATAATAGTTGTGGTTTGGCATAAAAAAAAATGGCCCGGATTCCAATGTGGCTAACTTCTAAAACAGGCTTTTTCTTCTAAAAATGTGGTTGGATGTGTTTTCTACCTCTTTTTTTTTAAAACTATGAAATTATGAATAAGAGATTTATGTCAGTGCTGATCTCTTCTACAAACCTGCCAAGTATTTATTACAATTAAATAGTTTTAATTTCTACTATGCACTGACGTCCATGTATATATCTTGGATATGCCACGCATAGTTTAGTGTTTGAATTAGGGCTGAAACAAGTTGCTTATTGTCTATTTGGGGTCAAATAATGACTTATTTTTTTAAGCATGTTTTTATTTTTTTGCTTATTTAAAATGGGTTATTTGCCTTTTTAGGGCGTCCTATGAACATACAACTCGTCACATCACAGATCGACACACAGAGGCGGCCTATGCAGGGGTAAGTGTGTGTTTGGTGTGTTCCTTAGATCATGGGCACTGATCACTCAATCATAAACAAGCAAATTTCCTGTTGTTTGAAAGTGATTGGCTCTTATTCAGGATTATGGTAATCTGAGTTATCTTTTTTTTTTTTCAGGCTGAACAGAGGTGGTGGTGGTGGTATGAACAGAGGGCGTGGCTTTGGCGGCATGCAGAGAGGTCGGGGTGGCCGTGGCGCAGGAGGCTCTCGAGGCAGAGGGCGAGGTGGTCGTGGTGGTGTGAACAAGCAGCAGCTGTCGGCAGAAGAGCTTGATGCACAGTTAGACGCCTACAACGCCAGAGTATGTCCCACTGTTGGACTGTAACTCGTTTGGTAGTGAAATCAATTAAAGGTGTCCTAACATGTATCATTGTTTTTTCTTTTTCCCAGATGGACACCAGTTAAGAGATGAAGCTCTTCCTAGCCGTCCTCCCTCCCTTCCTGGGCAGAAGGGGGGGTTGTTACAATTTGTGCAGAATATTTTACACATGCTTGTCTTCTGATGTGATTTGAAAGTGTTCCAGCTTCTTTTAAATACTCCAAAGTGTTTTTTACCTGTATTTTCTTTTTTTTGATGAAAAAAGGTTTAGACTGTAGGCTATCTAACTGGGTTTCCAGTTCCCCTCAGCCCTGTAGTTTGACACTTGTAATAAAAACCTGCAGTGTATATCAACCAAAAACCTTGTTTAATGCATTTAATTTTTTATTGGTATCTTGTGTTACATTTGGTGTTGCATCATAAAACAAATGTCTCACTGGTAGCGTGGAAAGTGTTTTTAATTGTCTGTTTGATGGGTTAGTATGTGAAATTAAATGATTCTTTTGGATTCTTATGAAAATGGTAAGATATTTGATGGCCAACAGGGAGGTCTGTACGTGCACTGGAAAAAATCGAAATGGAACGACAATTTACACATAAAATAAAACACAATTGCATAATCTTATTTCAAGTGCTTATTATCTAATTATATTTTAAGAGTGAAACTACTCATTTACCTAATCAAATAAGGGTTAAATATACTTTAAGAAATTTGTACTTATTTCAAGATTGCTTTTCCAGTGTGGGACTGTTAAACCTTACATGCCACAATGTGGCCACTAGGTGGTGAATGATAAAAGTTTTCCCGGCCTAGTGTGCGCCCATATAAGGTGACATACAAGAAGCTTAATAAAGTGGTTCAATGAATTTAGTGGTATAATGAACAGCTGCAAGCCTTGACTTCCCCAACTCAATGTCGTACGTTTTCCAGAAACACTTGGGCCAAAAGAAAATGTTATTTAAGGGTTATTGTAAATTTGAAAAGTAAAATCTCCCAGCCACTACATTATATATTAACTGTCAACATTTTGTGTGTAATGAAAAGCATTTGTTAATACCATCTGAAATTAATACTCAACCACTATTGTAAGTCATCTCCAATCGATAGGTGTTAGAAGTTGGAAAGGTTATTTTCTACTTAAAATCTGTTGTGTAATGCAAAACTTGTTCCTTCTCGGTCTATAAGAAACCTCCATCCAGTTTTACTTGATAAAAGCGTGTTGGTTTTGTTTTCATAAATCTATGGCAGAGTCTTTCATTTGAACAATGTATGACGGTGTAGAAACATACAATAAGCCACTGTCAGCATGTCCAACTTTCACAGAAGCTTGGATCTGATTTGAAGACTTTATATATATATATATATATATATATATATATATAGTATTTAAATCAATCATGGTTTCATTCAAAATAAAATACTCTAATACAACAGATTTATGAAAGCATTCTTACATTTGTTACGCACTATTTACAATGTAAATCCTTAACATACCAGGTTAGCCAAGGTTGCACACCTCTGATCTGATAGATGAAAACTGGATGAAATGTAAAGCTGTCTCTGACTTCAAAAGATCTAAAGTAAACTTCTAAGGTACAATATTGTCCAAAGGACAAATCGGTTGCATTCTCCTCTGTCATCGTATATGATATGAAATAAGATTTGGTATTGCACTGTAAAAACGGATCTAATCAGCGTATTTGCAAATAAGATGACCTGCCAGTGGAATTGTTTTTGCATTTACAATATGATAATCAGATTTTATGTACTTGAAATAATATGAGGGTTTTTTGTCCCTATTAAAATCTCGTAATCCATCTTAAAATTGTCTTAAATTAAGGAAAAATACACAAACAAATAGTGGCAAACTGATATTGTTTGCAGAAAAGGGACCAGGACCAGTTTTATAGGGGGGACTGGCCCCTTCCCGGAACCGCCCATGACAGCTATGATATGTAAATATTCTAAGATACGAAAAAAAATTATTATTTGAATTCCACGTGATTTTGTTTAGATGTTTGGTAATTGGTTTGAGGTTAAAAACACAGTTTAAATATTTACTGCGGGATGTTTCGTTATAGTTCTTGTTTTCCATGCTTTCATTTTGAAAGAGCCAACCCGGAAGAGGCAGTAAGCGCTCTTTGGTTCAGATTTTCTTCCTCCGCGCCGCTTCACTCCCATTCACATGAGACTGGGCCAGCCAACCACAAGTGAAACGGTAAGAAGAAAAAAACACCATCTCTACACTTTTAATGTATCAAATTAATGCACACACCGTCAAGCTGCTAGTGCTAAATTTAAAAAAAACTTTTACTTCGGAATCGAACAGTATATTTTTTTAATTTAACAAAGGTTTTTGAACGGAACTAGTTGTTTACCGAAAAAAAACAAGTTTTCGTCGATTGATTCGTTGCAAACCTAAATAAAAGTCGACGTAGTGCTGGTATAGAAGTTTTAAAACGTTATATTAGTATTTGTTGATGAGTTATGAAGTTATCCGCCCCGATTGAAGAGCGTAAAGGCGGTTGTCAGCTGTGAATTTCCGGGTTTTGGCAGTTAGGTAAGTGTTGCTTTCTGAATAAAACCATAAAGTAGTAATATAGCGGATGCATCAACTAGTGCACAATCAAATGTGGGATTTAAGGGACTAAATTTGCTTACTTTGAGTTAAAAAAAGGTAATGTAACGCCCTTAACATGTGTCTTGCTGTATGAGGAACATTTTTGCTCACTTCCTGGAACTCGACATTCTTAAAATTGGATTCAGCTCACACCTTAAAGCAGCCTCCATTTTGGCCAATTTACTATTATTTTTGAAGGCATATACAGAACTAAGTTCTTCAGATCAAATTTATTTTTTACCAGACTTTTTTCTTAATTGTAACATTTTGTTGGATTGATTGGCAGTGTGTGTAGATTGTCATTTAAACCTCCCTTTTCCTTCCCATTGTCTGGAGGAAGCTTGTTTTTTGTTTTAGCTCCTGGAAGTTGGCTAAATGTCTTTGTATATTTTTGTTGTTCATAAACTTAAATTTTTACTTCCGCTCAGCTTGAAAATCTGCAAGCTTGCAAGGCCGGATGTCTAACTAAGCATTTCCTTTCCTCTGTGGTATGAGCTGATAGGCCTAAAAAGGTTGATTTTTAACATAATAACTTTGTAATTATAAGAAAATAAAACTTTCTAGCAGTTCAGCATAAGGAATTGTAGGGGTAAAAGCCAAGTGTAAGGATGCACTGATCAGGGTTTTCTGTGCCAATTTGTATATCAAATAAAAGCTGATTTTGACATTTTAAGGAGTACAAAATATATAAAATATGGTTCAGATTTTAACCTAATAAAAACTGAAGGAATGACCAAGATCTATATCGATGAATACAGCATATATCTCTCATTGTTATCTGATTAAGGAGATAACAATAAGGGAGATTTCAGATAAATACATGAACATAAAGAGCGCATCAGAAAATGTTGAATTTTATGCATCAACTTAAGGGAACAAAATGCTTTCTGTTTACTAGCTGGTGTAAATTGAGCGATTTACTGGTACTTCTATGTCGAAAAGCTAATTTCTTTTGCTTCTATTGCTTTAAAAAAAATCCTCATGTTGCAGAAAACATGTCCTCCCTCATCCTCTCCTGTCTGAGCAGCTCTCTTTAGTTGCCTCTCTAAACAATGGTGTGGGTGACCTGTTTCTACTCAGTCTGGCAGGGGGAGGCATGCAGGTATGACAGCTCCCCCTCCCCCCCCAGTGTAGTGAAGCTTCTCTCCTCCTCATGCTTGAGACAACTCCACAGCTAGAAAATGTTTTTTTTGTGTGTGTTCTGCAGCTTTGATAAGCAGTCAAAACATAGGATAAAACCATCTACTAATTTCTATATCAATAAGTCAATGTATTTATATACATTATTTTACTTTTTTTTTTTTTTTTTTTTTTTTTACTCCCAGTTACCACCTGAGCTCTTGCACCTCCCTACATGTTTCCTGCAGCTGTATGCAGGTTTTATTCAGCGGCTATTTATTCCTCTTTGTTCTGGACCTTCCTGGAATTGTGTTTTTTTTTTTTGGTTTTTTTTTGCATCTTCATTCTTACAAGCCTTTCAGTTGGTTTCTACAGATGTATAACAGTTTGCAGTCACTTCTGACTTTCTCTTTGTTGTTCAAAAATACTTTGTTGCTTTTTATTTTCCCTCACCTGCTCTTTTAGCGTTGGGTTCTGTCAGATTGCATCAGCTCTAAGCTCTTGTGGCAACACTTCCTCAAAGCTTTGAATTATTCTTTATTTATCTATTTTTTGCTCAATATCTCCAACTTTCTGTAAACTCTCATAATTTTATCTGCCGCTATAACTGTGCTGTCGTTTTTGCAAGTAAAATATTTACTTTAGCTGGTTTGGTGTCTTATATTAATATGAAGATAGGCTGTGCCTCATCTCTGCCCTTCTGTGGTTTAGCTCTCTAAAGGATGTGAATCATTGCGCTCCTTCTCAACTGAAAAAGGAAGTTTGCAGATGCTTCTTGAAAGCAGAAAATGGCGGCAGCGCATCCTGACATTGCATGGCTCTCTTTCTTAAATTTCTATCCTGTAAGGTTATCTCTACCCAATCAGATGCAGAATCTCTAGGTTATCTTAACACTTTTGCAATCACAGAGGCCAGTGGTGCTCTTCTGCAGAAACTTAATGAGGAAGCAGGTTGAAAAGGACAGGTCCAAAGGTCTGTGTTGCATGAAGAGGCTGCAGCACTGAAGGGATCAAAGCGGCTGCACAGCTCCGGTAAATGTCACAGCATAAAGGTTCCCCAGTCACCTTTAGTGCAACAGTAATCATGTCCCTGTGTCGTCACAAAGGTGAATAGGAGCTTTGTTCCATGCAGCGTTCAGTCATGTAAATTATGAGCTAAGGGAGCAAACATTTCTCTCTTTTTCCTTGTTAAGTCTCTGCCTTAGTGCTGAATTATTTAATAATCTTGATAAGAACAAGCGTCTGTGGCTGCATATGCTTTTCTTTAATGATGGGGAGTTTGGGCCTGTTTAAAGCTGTAATAGCTGAAATTGTTATTCCTTTCGCTATAATATAAGTTAGAGTTGGCACAAAATCAGATCCTCACAAATACTGTTAATGCTCTATGAATAAAAAAATCAAATGTTACAAAAGCAGATGTTGGAAGCGCAATAATGCTGTTGTTTTTATCTATATCTGGTAGAAATTATATTTTTCATGACAAATCAGAATTTTCTTTCTGCAAAAAATCAGCAAAATTTCCCTCTTTCTGCCTTTTTATAAATCAAATGTTGACTAAATGAGAGCTGCACAATCCCTGAATTCAAAGGTACATGATTTATTTCAAAGGAGAAATGAAATGCAGTCTTATCCAGGTGTTGCAGAGGATTTAAAGCTTAAAAAACCCACTATTGTTATGGTCATGTTGAAACCACGCCCTCTGAATGAAGCTAAATGAGGATTAGAAAAAGGAAGTGCAATCAACCTAAAATAAGTGTCTCATAACAAGATGATTTTATGTATAAATCAGAGTAACTTGTTTAATATAATGCAGGATATAAAAAGACTTCCTCTCTCAAAGATGCTGCTCTTGGGGATTTTCTCTGTAATGTGTCACAATCGTTTTAAAGGAAAGAAGAAAATGAAAACACATCGCCTTTCCAAATAACTTTGCTGTTTATCCTGCATGGTGCTTTTTCATTTCTTTTCTGCCATTTGTCACCGACCTTTATTCAAAGGTATTTACTGCATATATCTCATGCACCTTTTTTTTCCTTTGGCACATTCTTCTCCTTTGACTATTTGAGCTGATGCAACAAGTACATTTCTCCACTGTGAGATCAATAAGGTCATTAAAAAAACAGACCTGTTAGAAAGGGGTATAAATAATAATTGTTTTGTATCGATGCATCGATCCAACAGCCAGCGATCCGATGCATCGAGACGTCCGTAAGAGATCGATTAATGTTTTTTCCTCCGTTCTTTTTTTTTATTCATTTGCTCCTGGACGTAATTCTGACTCTCATGCTGCGGTGGCGCTTAACCCATTTTGCCCTCCTACCTCACTTCCTTTAGCCACTGCCCTCTTTCCGCGTGCACACACACTCGCGTAAACAGTAGGCAAGACTGATGTGGCGGATTCTTGAGTAACGAAAATAATCAAATCGTCGGGTCAGGAAATTGATACTGAATCGAATCGCCATCATGTTAGACATGTTTGTGGAAGGAACCCCGAATTCATTCATATATGTTGAACACATTTAGGTTTTACGCAAAATCAAATAAATCGAGAATAAGGAAAATAGAATAGAAGGGAATATCAATGATTAATTTAAGAGATGTTGTATATTTTCAGTAAATAAGAATTAAAATTGACATAAAGCAGGATGGTTATATGCAGATTGGATGGTTTTATTAAAGAAAAATGACACATTTAAGGTTGTTTAGTCTGTAAAAACTGAACTTTCTCAAATGGCTGTCATTGATTAAATATGTAATATGGTACACCATCTCTTTCTGTCCCTGTTAGCACAGTGGACACTACACAGCCATGCAGGGGGTAGATTGTGGCTCAGGTGGCAGTCGGAGCAGTTTGTCCACTAAAGGACAAGTAGTGGGCTTTCCTGACCCGTCCACCAGCTCAGGTTCCCTTTGATAAGTGAAACTGTAATAAACAGGAGGTTAAAAATGCCTCATCGGCCGTACTTCATCCTCTCAATAGTCTTCGCGGTATTCTTAGGGAACAGCCCTAATCTCCAGCCTGAGGCGCTGCCAGAACTGGGTGTTTAGACTTTCTGCCGCTTGCTCAGCCCACTCAGGCAAATAGTTTATCCAGGCGTCTCTCCCCCTGCAGAGCTGTTCAGGTGATAGCTGAGACACCGACGTCCAGCAGGACGTTCAGTCCCATGACCTCAGGGGCTTATTCCCAGCAGGCCCAACAATGACAGGGCCTCTTTTTGGCAACTTGAACCACAGCTCGCATTGTGTGGAGCTGCAGAGGGAGAAAGCAAATGGCTGTCATTATACGGGTGTCAGCATTGTTTGTCCGGAGCATGTGGGCCTTTTTTTTTAAATGACTAAATCAGCAGCGGCATGTTGGATTAGGAGGGTGTCTCTAAATAATGCAATATTTTGCTGCTTTTCAGGGGTCATTGCAGCGTAAACAGGTTCACTGTTGATCAGACTGGTTCATTTTTAAAGAACTAGATCATAAGAATCCAGCTGTGATAACCTTGGCTTCTAACAGCTGTTTCACAGCGTTTCATTTTAAAATAGGTAGAACTTATGCAAAATTTGGCTAAAAATATTACCATGTATATTTAGTTTGATTTTAGAACTACTCGTTGCATCATTTATTCTAGCATTTCTTTCTTGATCTGCTCCTTAGAGTAAACCACATCTACTACCTGCTAGCGGCTGCTTAATACATCAAGCTATCCACTGCCGTATCTAGCCTGCAGTCGGTGGCTTTACAGGAATAATAGTTTTAACTTTTACGCCGTTATTATTTTAGTCACTGTCATTTAAAAACAAAAAAAAATGTGTTGCTCTTGAACTTTAAAACCAGAACCGTGTTAAATATATTATCAGTCTATCACTGCTATGGTCTTCTTCAGCCAGCTGACTGGCTGTGTGCAGCTGGAAAATACTGTGGTTTAAATGCATTTACAGATCTGATTGTTTTAATTCATTAAGTTAAAAACTGGGATCCTTGGTCAAACATCTGATTTAAAAAGGAAGTTCTACCCTAAAGACTGACCTCTTTAGTTGTTTCCAGTAGAACGATTGTCTGCCTCATTTGACTGAGCACTTCCTGCTGTGGGTATGCTTGGTATGCTGCAGTGTGTTGCTGCAAGAAGAGTTGAGGAGAGGAAGTGAGAAAGGAGAAGAGAGAACGTTCCAGCAAGCTGCTCCCCCGGCGCTTTAAGAACGACATGACTGCCCCGCTGCGTTCTCCGCTCCTGGTTCCCCTCCAAACGCTCACAAGCAGCTGACCGGCCCAAACATGCAGTCGCTTTCAAAGGAATTTGGGCTCTCTTGGGTGCGCCGCAGCTCTGAGCTGGGAAAATGGAGCTGGGTTAAGAGGTCCTTGTAGTATTTGGAGGGTTGGAACAGCAGGAAGCCAGGCCAGTATTTACTGGTATCAGTCAGAGGAGTTTAGATGGCTGTTTGGACGTTCATGTTGGATAAACAACATACGAGCCAGATTGGCATAACTTATAAATGACAGGATGAAACAATTCTTTGTCTTTCTACGGGGGATGATTTGAAAGATATGAGGAAACCGTTTATTCGGACACCTTCCTCTTTCGTTTAATCAGTTATCACGATGCTCTGCCATTTTTAGGCTTAATGAAGTCGGAGAGCGGTGATAAAATCTTTGTGGTTTTGAACGCTTTCTTGTCTGGGGCTTAGCCGCTTCAACACGGAGGCCTGAACACCTTGTTGAGATTTCTTTTTAGCTGAAATGAAACAGCTGATAAACGCTGAGTTATTCCTGTAATGGTACATAATTTCTTTAAATAACATCAAGTTTATGCTCAAATTTTGCTCTTAAACGTATATGTATGTATGTGAAATCCCCACACACACACACACACACACACACTCAACCCACCCCACCGGGGGGGAAAAAACCCTGACAGGCTGTTAGGCTGATATATGTGTGGTCCATTTCTGCACATTTCGGCTGTGCTGTCATCCAGCTGCCTTATGCAGGTGTAGCTTGGCTCTCTGGGCTTTGCCCTGCATGTGTGAACCAGCTGCTCTCAGTTGTTCCATTCGCCCCGCTCCTATTTTGCACATAGAGCTCTGAAGGAGGACGTCAGCCTTTCCTGACTAATACCAATTTTTGGTTTCATTTTTATCCCCAAGATCTGAACTGAAAATTCTAATTTTGTTTCATCTCGGGCTGAAATGATTAATCAGATTAATCGATTAGTGAAATATTTGTCAACTGATTTGGTAATCGAGTACAGAGACTGTAAACCGTGCCTTTAGCTGACAGAACAACCCAATTAGAGCAGTAATTAAAACTGGTTTCATTTTGTAAGACGTTTTCTTTAAGGAACCTTTTGCTATCCGATTATAAATCATTTAATGGAAAAAATAACCAATAGATGAATCGATTTGCAAAATACTCGTTAGTTGCAGCCCTATTTTATCGCTATGTATTCCAAAAACTTCTGTAAATCCAAAAAAGGTATGTTGTTTGTGATCTGATAAAGTAGGTTTCAAGTCAATCAGAAACAGAAGTTAGACTTTTATGAATGACTTTTAAATAAACTCTTTAAATGTATCTTTTGAACATTAATTTATCTTATGAATGGAATCCTTATTAAATTTCCCAATCAGTGTTTAAAGCCTTTCAGTGGAAATGTCTGATTTTGAATTGATCTGCATCAGGAAGCTCCTCATAACTTAGTAACAAACCTTCTTGATTCATGCTGTTTAATATATCACTGAACTTATCTGGTTTTCACCATCCCATCTTCTGACCAATTGTTCTCTGTCTAAATGATGTTATGCTTTACTGTGTGATGAAAGCAGTGAAAAACATGCCTTTGTTTGCACACACACCTGTGCTTTAAACTATCAGCTCCGCAGGGCAAAGTTCTCTGCGGTTCGCTGAGGAATAAATAATTCCTGGCCATCGTCCAGTAATGACGACTCTTTGCATCACCTGCCTCCTTTCGTTAACTCAGAGCAAATAGAAGCTGTTTATTTCATCTATTCCTCCCTTTTGTGTCGCCACAGTCTAGCACACCATGGCAGAGCAGGACCTCACACCGGAGCAGCTGAAGGCGATCGCAGAGGCCAACGAAGAGAAAGAATCCGACATTAATTACAAACCTCCTGCCCAGAAGAGCTTACAGGAGATCCAGGAGCTGGACAAGGATGACGAGAGCCTGAGGAAGTACAAGGAGGCGCTGCTGGGCAAGGTGGCCGTGGTGGAAGGTTTGTGGTGACTTGTTTGCTCCATCATCTGATGTCAGATGTTTATTGTGAAAACAGCGCCTCTTAGATCATTGACATTCTCACATATCAATGTTTTTCTTTGAGACTCTTAAAAAAATCCCTCTACAACAAAGAGGGAGAAATTATTTCCATTCACTTGGATTCTCTCTTCACATGTTTTGAGTTTAGAAATGTGTAGAAATATCAGCACGTGCAGCATGCTGCTGTAGGGCCTCCTCATATAAACAAAGATCATAACAGAAGATTAAACTCAAATGTCACGTGTCGGAAGTTTCCATTTGTCTCTTCACTTCTTAATGTGTTTCACTTTTACTGGGTTTTGGAGAAGTAGCTTAAATCTCTTCAACACCTTCACATGATTATGTGTTTTAGATTATGAAGAAAAAAAATCTAGTTGTTTTTTTATGCTTTGCAAAAGAAGGTTATTTTCAAACCGTTTTTTATTTACTGCAATAACCTTCTTTAGATTTCATCTAATAATTAAAGGTCTACATCTGTGTGTAATTGAATCTCAGCGGAGATTGGGCTGTGGTGGGAATGGTTTTCAAGAGAATGTTCACAAACAAAATCTCCATAAACACAAAGGAATAAGGCAGGCAGGTCCGGCAGGCAGATGGAAAAGTTTTAAGCATACTTCACACGACCCACAGATTTTGTTTCATCTGATGATGGAATTAGAAAACCTAAAAAATAACCTAATCTAAAGCAGCGAGAGAGGAGCCATGGTGACTCTGAGGGGGCTGCAGTGAGGCAGCTCAGGCAGGATAGTCTGTAAACAGGGCTAAGCAGTCTGAGTTTATAGAATAGTTGCAGAAAAAAAGTCGTAAAAAGGCTAGTTGTTTTACATTGCTGCTGCAAAGTCCCATAAATTGTGACGCTTGAGTTGTTTTCTTTCCGTAGATCCAACGAAGCCGAACGTCCAGGTGACACGGATGACCCTGTTGTGTGAAACGGCACCTGCTCCTCTGATCCTTGACCTGCAGGGTAAGTCCTGTGCAGCTGCAGCTTTTAGATGACACCTAGAAACAGCAGCATTTACTCTGCCCTCGTAAATGCTGAAAGAAGTCCGATCATGACAGGCAGCACTTCCTCCAGACCTGCTGAGTCATTAGTCTAATTAGTAACGCAGTGGTGTGGGTTAATAAGCCACTCAAGGTGCTTTTCCTGCCTCCATGGTGAACATGAAGAGAGGATGATGCCTCATTTATTCACTGTGCCACCTGGTGGACAGAACTGTTACTACAAAAAAACGAAACAGGATGTTTATGAAGTTAAAATGTTGATCCAAATGCTCCTGATAATCCATAACTATTTTATTTACTAACGCTGTTTTCTCTATTAAAGGAGACCTGGAGAACTTCAGGAAGAACCCATTTACACTGAAGGAGGGAGTTGAGTACAGAATAAAGATCAACTTCAAGGTAACAGCTGCAGTCTCTGCTTGTTTACAACAGATCTCCATCTGCCTTTCTGCATTTTGTGGGGAATTTTTTTTTTTTTTCGTCATCATGTCGCCTGAAGCATGATGAAATTATTATTTTTGCAGGTGAACAAGGAGATCGTATCAGGCCTCAAATACAACCAGCAAACATTCAGGAAAGGAGTTAAAGGTAAAGACGGCTTCTTCCACTGTAGCTTCAAATGTTTTTGTTTATCAGGTTTCTATGCATGTTTTAATGGTGAATATGAAGTTATGTTTGCATACAGATGGAAAAGTTTAGCTAAGTGGAAAAACGACAAATTTTTATGTAACATGTTTCCTTTTTTAGTGAGTTTAGAATCAAAAGATGTGGTTTTACCTTTATTTTTTTCTTCTTCCCTTTATACAATTATGTTAATTATTTAATTATGAACAAACAGAATTTTCTTTGTTTTTTTGCAAGGTGGAAATAATAATAGAAAAAAATAAAAGTATACTGGACACCTAGCTTAACCACAAATCTGTGTTTTATAGAAGCCAGAAAGCCTCTGGCTTTATTCTGACCTGGTTTCTTTTTACAGACCTGGCTTTGAAGTGTAGCTTATTAATGTCTGTTTAGGGTTGAATTTATCCCTGATGCCAAATCTTTTATATAGTGGAGATCATTGGTTTGTAAATCGCTCCCTTATGTGGAGGTTTCTACTGGGGATCATCTCATCTGGGTGTCGGCTTGTTGATGCCATCGTCTCCTCTCCTCCTCTCATGTGCAGTTGATAAGTCTGACTACATGGTGGGAAGCTACGGCCCGAGACCAGACGAGGAGTACGAGTTCCTCACCACCATGGAGGAAGCGCCCAAAGGGATGCTAGCCCGCGGCACTTACAACATCAAGTCCAAGTTCACAGACGACGACAAGTATGATCATCTCTCCTGGGAGTGGAGCCTCGCCATCAAGAAGGAATGGAAGGACTGATTTCATTGTTTTTTTTTTTTTCATATTTGTTTTTTTTTTCCCTGCTCCGACTCGCTAATTCTCCCCTCTCATGTTTCCCAGCCTCTTGTCTCGCTGCCATTCTGTGATTTTTTTTTTCTTTCCTCTCTCCGTCCATCATTCCACCCCTACCTTCTACTCCCCCCTCTTTTTTTCCTAGCTTCAATCATATCATCATTCCCCATAATTGTAACAATTTAATTTGTTTACACCCACCTTTTCTGATAAAGTATTAAATCCTAAAAATAAAAAAAAAATACAGAGAAAGCAAACTGTGCACAATTTAAGATTTCCAGAAAAGTTTGTTTATAAAAGTATATACAGAAAAAAGAAAAAGATCAGTATGTGATTTCCTCTGCCCTTTGCTGCTGATTCTTTCTCTTTTCTAATATTTGTCATTGTTTTATGTAATCGTCACGGTCTGCCTTGGACAGCATTGTGCAGAAAGCAATGGTGCTGCCTGCTAGCAGTCCCTAAGCTATCACTGCTGGATGTAATTCTTGGACAAAGCCCAGCTAAAGCCTCTGAGCAGATTACACGTTCTAGAGTCTAACCATTTGGTCTTCCAAATGGTTTGGATCTTAATCAAATCTACTCAGAGACCAGGGGGAACAGTTACCTCTAACCCCCCCTCACAAACCCCCTTTGCCTTAGCTGCAGCTCGTCCTCTCCTGATCAGGTATTTTGGCGCGTTTCTTTTATTTTATTATCTACGTGGCCTTAAGAGCAGTTAAGAGGTAGAAAAATAGTTGAGCCATTTGCCTTCAGAGTAAATACTATGAGCCTGTTTTAGCATATGACTAGTGAAACATACATGAAATCATAAGGGTTTGATTTGTCTTTATTTCAGGTTTAATCGCTTGTATGAACCATTACCTGCACGACTTAGATGACACCTTTGTTTATTTTTGTGTAGTGGTCTAAAAATCTAAAAACAAACTCTAAGGCCAATTGCTTTGTCCTCTGGTCCTCATTCACAGCTCCGTGCTGAATCTAATACAGGATGTGTTCAATCATTTACTCTGTTATTATAGGAGATTATTACTGCTGACTGTGCCTCCAGACTTGCCGTCTCTCCATCAGTATCCAAACCTCAGCCCTTAAACGCACCTCGGTGGTAAACACAGCTGGCCATACTAAGTGTTTTCCTGTGTTGTACACTCCATATGGAAATGACTGTCAGTTTGGCTTCATTTCATTCGTGTGTCATGGACTGATGGTTCTTCTCAGTACGGTGGGTTCAGCTCACCGTGTGCTGTCTGTACTGCCTACAGTTTACGGATCTTGTGTTCAAATTAAAGTGTTCAGACTGGGAGAATGAGACTCTTGTTTTTTGTTTTTTTTCTTAAGTGTTTGATTTACTTTAAAATGATCCACTCTGTTTTAGGTAATCTTTTTTGGGGGATTAATAATTCAATACTTGAAGCTTTTTAGTTTAAGCCCAGGTTTCCTGCACCTATCCAAGTGCATTACGGTTTGAAAAGATTTCAGTTTACTAATTTAGTTTCTGGAGTGATCAGACAACGTACTTAACGTATTTAAGTGAAAACGGGGAAAATAAGTTTATAATATTGCAAGCATTAATTTAAAACCTCTTTATTGTCTGAGGGTCTAGAACAGTGTTGGGCAATTCCAGTTGCTGGGGACTGGTATCCTGCAACTTTTAGATGTGCCTTTGGTTCAGCATGCCTGAATGAGAGGTTTCTGGAGGAACTGACTGCATACTGATAACTCAGCCATTTGATTCAGGTGTGTTGGAGCAACCGTGGATCTAAAAGTTGCAGGATACCGGCCCCCAAGGAACTGGAATTGCCCAGCCCTGGTCTAAAACCTCATCTAAACCCAACCAGGCCTTGCCCTCTTAAATAGCTGGCAGTGTCTAATGTTTCCATTGGATTATCGATGGAGAACACAAGGGGGTTTAGTAGAGATCTACACTCACCGGCCACTTTATTAGGTACACCTGTCCAACTGCTCGTTAACACTTAATTTCTAAGCAGCCAATCACATGGCGG